TTGCTAGTTCAAATAACTTTTCCAGTGTAGTCGGATTTCTTAATTCAATAAAGTCTTGCACTTGGGGCAGTAACCTCGGCCAAATCACTTGAATTATCTCAGGATCCGGACGGTTTCCATACAAGAGTTTGAAGACGTGAATTTTTCTTAAATAAAGCTTGAGAGATTTTCGATTCTTTGTTGATATATGCTGAAAAGTTCCGTTTCTAATTTCGCACGATCCCTTACAACAGGGAAGGCTTTTAGTAGGGCAGTCTTGAAATTCTCGTAAGTATAGGTGGGACTTCCTGCTTGACCCAAGAGACTTCTGCCTATACACTTGAACCAGTTAAGCGCTTGGCCCCTCAAAGCGCTGGTAGCTAAGGTAACTTTTTGAAATTCGTGCACGGGGTAGAGCATGAAGTGGTCATCCAATTTTTCCAAAAAACTGGTTACCGGTGAGTTTCCATTAAATGTTGCTTCTGGTTTCATCGAAGCGCGCATGGTCTGGACGATGTAACCAAATCCTTCCAGGGCGGCAGCTGGCATTTCTGGATTCTGAGCCGCTTCTGCAGGCAGCACAGGTTCTTCTTGAAACTCGGCCATGGTTATTCTTCTTCGTTGGGCGCCACTATCAGGTTCAATGTTCCGTCTTACTTTCTTCGGGAACATGCAAGGACCTGACTCGGAACAGAGAGCTTACTAAAGCTATGTTCAGTCACTGTGGGAAGTAGACAGGATACACAAGAAGGGTATACAAAACCCTTTATTTTTCTCTATTTACAATAACTTCCGTACTTCGGAATACACAGACCTGCTACTTGTGGTCTAACATAAAAATATAAAAATAAAACTAAACTCTAATTTAACTTTAAAATAATAAACGTGGAAGATTGGCCTTATATTAACAGGAAGCCGTATGTAGTACAGAGAACTGTGAACACTACAATACGTTTAAAAATTATCAAGAGGATTAAAACCTCTGGCCTGGAAGGCAACCAGCAACTGAGTAAAACTTCTAAGGTAAGCGGCCTGCTTCGACTAACTGCTTCCTCTCTCTCGCTTGGCAAAAAGCCACAACTTAAATACTTGGCGTTCGCCAGACAAACTTTGCATAAATACATTAACGCTTATAATTCTGGCCGGAAGTAGAAAATAAGAAGTGATAGTAAAGATTTAAAATAAAATAAACGTTAGTAAAACTTAAGATCCTTACAAGCTTATCATTTTTATAATCAGGCGTATAACACGCACCCGTGCATTTCGATCTCATTTTATTTGTATTAAAAGCAGTATGTTTGTATTTGTCTGAATGAGCAGCATAAAAAGCGGCCCATGCCCATATTTAACACCAGGGGATAATGTAGTAATTAGAATTTAAAATGTCATTTTATTTATAATTTTCCTTCCTTCATTTGTATTTTTTTAACTGTGTATGTATTCTTCTTAAATCGTGTAAACGTTACCGCTACGACGGCTTGCATTGTGCACTTAGTACTTTTTGTTCCCAGCTCGATCAGCTTTCTGAACAATCTTCTCCAACTAATTAATTAACATTCACAATATATTAAAAAATTCAATAACGCATATTTTTTACCTTATCTCTTAGCGTATTATTAAGTATATTATTACGAAATTTTTAATCGGTCGATTCGAGGTAGGGCACTGGGCCCAGGCCCCGGGTGTCTTAAAAACCATTCCACCTCAACTACTCTCAATTGTTGTTTTTGTTGTTAGCTATTGGCTCAGCGTGAGTTCCGAGAATAGTTCCGCTCTTTAGTTGCGCATTGCATTCCGTTGTCTTTAACGTTCATAGTTGTTAAAAGTGTAACTACTGAATGTACTCTGTGATACTGTGTACAGTTGTACGACTATTTTTGTGGAAAGTTCTAGATCTCTGATATGTTTAATTTGATAAAATAAATTTTATCAACCTATCATCCGAGCTGTGTGTATACAATCTATTGCGAACTCGTACGCAGGCATGAATATATATATATACTACAGTTATATGGGAAAAAAGATCTGAAAGTAATTGAATACGTTTAGTAATGCTTCTAAGTAAGGTTTCGCAAACATGAACTTTTCTGACTTTCATTTTCAACCAAAAGATTTAAACTCTTTTACTTTTGTTTCTTGAAGTCATAGACAGTTGACAATCCAATTCCGAAAGTCTGTAACAATGTTTAGGCGATTTATATCTAAACTTTTTAATAACTCTATCTTTTCAAGCGTAGAGAGTGATTTACTTTGCACTTACTAGTACTACCACTATCGTTTACACTTCTTAGATAACATTTTTAAGGCTATAACATAGCTGAATGTCACTCATTAATAAAACTGTTAAACCGAGACAGTTACCTAGCATGTAAATAGATTTTAAATTAAAAAACCATTTGGGGCAGTTCTAATATCTTCCGTTCTACTGGGCCACTTGACAAAGTTTAAATTACGTTTTTCATGGCTCCAAAGCGCGACTTAGGACATATATTAGATTTATATGTAGCACTGTTCTAATACAGATATCTAATACAGGTATTTTTGACGCAAACTTGAACTTTTCTGAAATAACATAACAATTTTTTCCCATATTTCGATTCTACAACTGAAATTGTGCCTATGTATTAAATTTTGTTATATTTGGTGAGCAATTTATGGAGAAAAATTAAAAATTCATATTGGCACTTTTTTTTTTTTTTTTTTTTTTCAGTTTGCGCCAAGAATAATTCCCGAGGCAAACTTTTTACTTTATAGCAAACTAATTTTCCTTTTCTTTTTTCCATTGAATGCGAGAGAAGAAAAGGCCGTCGATCATATTTTTAAATAATTTTAACAAAGAGCGTTATCCACATTTGGCGTTATTATTCCTGTTAACAAATTTACCAAATTTCAAGACGCCGCAGTATATAAATTCATATATATCTTAGAAAACTTTGAATAAAAAACTCCAAATTTTTGCAGGTATACGTAGAAATGTATCTACTTTAAGATGATGGTAAAAATTTTATAGCTTATAATTCTAAATTGTTTTCGAAAAATTTACAAAAAATATTTAAAAATACAAATTTTTAAAATAAATCATAAAACATGGGCGAATGATATTTGGATTAAGTCTAAATTTCGAATTCTGGAAGGAGGAATCAAGTAAGTTTAATAAAAATAAGAGATATTAATAAATTAAATTAACACAGAGGAGCTAAAATTTTGAGAGCTAATTTTTTAAAAACTACTCGTACGATTTTTACAAAACGGAGCGGTTTGGTATAATTTGAATCGCATAATTGAAATATGGAAAAAATTGGCATGCCATTTCAGAGAAAGTCCGATTTTGTCTCAAAATAATTATATTATTAGAACAATGCTGTATATAAATCTAATACATAAGTCGCGCTTTCGAGAAATGAAAAACGCAAGTTGAATTTCGTCAATCGGTCGAGTAGAATAGGAGATACAGAACTGCCCAGCCCCGTTTTTTTTTTGTTTTCTTTTGCAGTGTACATATAACCTGCATTAAGGGAACATATGACATAAAAATTTACAAATTTTCGAATATTCAAATTTGAGCTAAAAAATAAAGTAGACTGAGATGAATCCAATAATATATAATTTATGCATGTTTCGAAATTTTAAAAGACCGAAATCTTTAATCAAAAAGTGTAAACAAGCACCAAGTACACCAACCACCAGTTTAAAAGGGACAGATGTTTGGTGTTGTCACAATAAAGCTAGCTATATTAGCTGGTAAAAAGTATGTTTATAAACATTTTTTGTCAGAACCTGTTTTATAAGCTGTTAAAAGTGTGTTTAGAAGTCTCTCTGATATTAAAAACTACTATAAATTTCATTCATGGAAGAACCCGAATGAGTGTTTTAATAATAGATTGCATCCAGAGCACGCATACCCAAAACTGTTTTTGTGAGTGTCATCACCTTAAAATTAGGTTTGTTAGATGCAATAATACGTTTTAATGATGGTGTATAAAGGTGCATTAAAGTAATGGAATTATTAAGAATACAACCAGGATTTTATATGGTAAAGTCTTTGCAAAGAATAGATTGGGGTAGTATTCGTGAGGCCCATCTGGCTTACCAAAAGCTTTCTGCAATGGCCAGAAAGAAGCATAAATTAATAAAACAAAAACAGCTTGATGTATAAATGTCAATTTAAGATGAATATGGTGCAGGAAAATAATAAGATGATTTTTTTATAAATTATTAGTGTTTAAATGGTTTTTTTTTCAGTTTTTCTAAAAATGTGGGGTGTTTTTTTTTTTTTTTTTTTTTTTTTAAATTTTCGGTACATTTTTCTTGAAAGCTATTCAGCCTGGAAGGTTTATATTTTCCTCAGTTGTTTACCTTAATTATTGCTTTCAAAATATGCAGGATATAAAATTTGCGATCACTCGTTTTGAATATATTAAAAGTTTAATAATATTCTTTTCTATGATTTTCAAAACATTTTACCAATTTATTTTTAATATTTTTTTAAGTAAAATGTAAAATAAAATACTGCTTTTATTCTTAAATAATATGTTTTTAAGTAAAATGTAAAATAAAATACTGCTTTTATTCTTAAATAATATGTTTTTAAACATGATGCAATATTTGAAGAAGTCTGGTGCAGTATTTTTTAAGAAAAGTGTACCGAAATAGCACACTGTCACTAAAGATTCGTCAAAGGTAAGAGAAATGAAACAGATGGTTTTTAAAAACATTAGGCTTTTTATTTATATTTTATGGGTTTAATATAATCTAAAATCTGTCTACTTTAAATGAAAAAAAAAAGAATCTAGAGTATAAGTTTATGTTTTGAAAAGTTTTACCTTAATAACTTTTGTTTCGAAATAATTGCATTTCGCCTGTCGCGATGTCACATATCCCCTTAAGTTAAGAAAAACATACTAGAGAGAAATATCAATATAAAATAAATTAATTTTGAATGTTTCTAAGTTCTATAGAACTTTAAATATGAAATTTCATAGCCATATTAAATTATCAAAATGTCATATACTGAAAAATACCTGTGAGCACTGGTATAAGGTTAGGATACGAATTATCTCCTACTTTATTCATTCCACGAAGGACGATCATTTTCAAGTTTTCGCTGAGATATCCATACGTGCGGGGCAGGTATCGAATGACAGCCTGCCTGGACATGGAATCAATGCCAAAAAGCAAAACATTGGTGAATTTTACCAAAGGTTTCCTTTTAAAATCAGAAATATTTCTTATGTGTGCTTGGATCGTATCATAAATGAAATTGCTGGCTTTACACTGAACCCGTATGAAGTCCGAGTCACCTAGAAATTGAGCTCCAGCTGTCTTGAAAGGAACCTGTAAAATGAATATTGCATAAAATGCAATTTTAAGTTTTCATCCTGTCTTTATTGTTCTGAAAGTATTAAGTATTGTTTTTCATTGTGTACTTAATTAAAAAAATGCTTCTCGTAGGAATAAAAATTTGGAACAGTCATTCTGATTTTAAAACGGATTCACATTAACTCAGATATCTATCAACTGATCTTGAATTATATTTATACAGTATTAGAGGAACTGTAGTTTTGAGATCTTATTAAAAATCAGACGTAAATGATTAGATTTAAAGTAATTATTGTAGAATTCTCGAAGTTTGAGAAAGGAATGCCAATAATATATAAATAAATAAAAGTAAAGAGTATTTAAAGAAATGATTCCTTTTATGTGTGAGACACATTTTTAATACCTCTAAGTTTAAGTAATACTTGTGAGGCTTATAGTTTAAATAATCAGATTGTTTCAAATCGGTGATCCTTTACTAGCCCTTTAAACTCAGCCTTATCTAAAGAAACATAAAGTTAATCAGAGTGCAAAAACACCAAATGAACGTCAAGGAATGCAACTGGACAAGCTGATAGGAAAACTTACTTCTTGCAATCGGGTTTAACCCTTTGAAGGCCAAAACGCACAAGACGTCCTTTCATTCAAACGGCCACAACCGCCCGAAACGGCCGAGATTGCGATGTTGTTTCTTTTTCTGTCTCCTAAAATATGCAGGAGCAAGTGCAATTCCCCCAAATGCATTGCATCAGTTTATTGCAGACAGCTTGTACTAAAAGGCTAATGGAAGCTTCTTCATTAGAAAATAAAAAGGATTTTATTTGAAATCTTCACACCTGTTTGTGAATTAATGGACGGGGAGCGGAGGAAGAGGATGGGACAGGCGTTACTTATTCTTTGCCTGTTAGTATTATGTAACTTTGCCTGTTAGTATTATGTAATACATAGGTGTTTTAATAGACAGCGTTCACGCTGATACATTAGCATTGAGATATCATTAGTGTTGAGAATGCATCTGTACCGGTAGATGGTTTTAGATTACTCTCCTTAGTATTAAGTTAGTGAGAGAATTTTAATTTTGTTAACCTATCCATTTGATTGAAGTTCCGAATACCTACGAATCAAACAATACCAATTTTCTGGCATTAATATAGTTAACTGTTTATCCCTTGTAAACTGCAACATAGGTTCCAAAGTGCTATTCGTATATGCATTATTCTAAAGATGAGAAGTGATTTTATCTTATTTACTTTAATTCCATTATTTTTATTTTTTGACTTTGATGACAAACTTTTAATTAGAGCAAAATCCGGTGGGTTAAATTTGTGAAGGGCGAAGATGCGAGCTAGAACATTACAATAAAGGCTAGAACTGTAACGCATGCTTGCTTACTTATCAGCAGTGCGTTATAAAAGAAAAGTATTTCGTAAATTCTATTCTTCAAAGGAGATTTGAATATAAAATCTACAGACTTTGCAAAGCCATTGAATATTTATACCATCGAGTGTTAACAGATTCACGAAAGCCTTCTTACTTCTAAAATTTCTTCAATGTGCTATCGATATTTTCTGAGTAATTGCACAAAAGTTGACTTTCTAAACTGATATTTTTAAAGTATTTTATGTTAATTAACCAATTATTACGATATAAATCTTTACTATTACTGAAAGAACGTTTCAAGAAAGAGACCAGCACCGCCAGAATATGCCAAAGGTCGAAGGAAGAAAATCAACTAGTGTCGAGGACCGAGGTGAAATACGAAAGAAGCCCGGAGATGATGACTGTTTAACCCGTAGACGAATTAGAATTAATAGAACCGTGACCTACCTATGATAGAACGAATTTGTGGCAAAGAGAATGTCCGGTTAGTGAAAATGCACTTTATTTGTTCAAGAAGAAATTTTATTTTATATATGTTATAGTAAATTTGGACGAAGTTGATGCTTTTATCTTTACTCAAGCGAGGATGTTTAAGCTAAGATGCTTTCTTTTTAATGTATCATCTGTGGAGTTCTTTTTATTTTGTTAAATTAAATGTCAAGGAACCTGGTGAACTGTTAAGCGAATTATCGCTTAGTCCAAATAAGAGGAATAGTAAACTCAAGAAGAATTAATTACCGTATATTTCACTCGCAATAAGATGGGCAGTAGGCCCCTTTCTTCGAGTTTACAGCAAAGCCTCCACTTGGGCTTAAACACAAAAATCAAAAACAAGATCTAACTATAAATTAACTAAGAGATTTAGCCGAAGCTAACACAGTTCTAACGTAGTTGGCTGTTAGTTTTAAACTAGCCGGCGAACTAGTATTAAAAGGCACGTAATATACGGCCGAACGTAACAGCAGTTAAGGAGAATTAGCCCAAAGGCAAACGCGCGCTACTCAGGGTTCCTAGCTCTCTTTCTCAAAGTATATTATATATATATATATATATATATATATATTAATACTATTTCTTCCCCATTTAGATTCAACACGACTCTAAAACCTCATTCTGATAGGGAGCTGTAAGTTGAAACGAGAACCGACAGGAAAGGTTACTTAAATTAAAATAACTGTTATAAAATTAAAATATACCTTATACATCTACTTTTAAAAATCTACGTTTGTGTATTAAACGCTTAGTAGTAGAAACGCTAAACGTTAAGTAGAAAAGAGTGTAACAGTAGAAAATTTGGGCTCTAAATTCAGGTCAAAATAATAGTAACTAACGTAGGCGTTTATTCATTTCCTACACAAACTAAATAACTGTAATCCTTTGGAGGGTAGTACTTTGTATACAGGAATAATATATGTTAATAATATAATAATATATGCATTAATAATATAATAATATATGCATTAATAATTGAATAATAAATGTATTTCAAAAGCAGTGTAAGTTAAATACAGCTAAAAAGATTTCTTAAGTTATCCATCCATTTTTAAGAATTCATATTTGTTTATTAAACACTCTTATGTTAATTATGTTATGGTTATTACTCTTATGTTATGGTTAGTTTAACAGAAAATTTTGGCACTAATTCAAGTCAAAATAATAGCTACTAGTATAGGTGTTTATACATTCTCTGTAAAAACTAAGTAAATGTAATCTTTTGAAGTGCAGTATCTTTATTGCATGAATAATATATGTTAAAGACTAATGCATGTCAAATGTAAGTGGAAGTTATTTAGATATTGGGTTCTTTAGATTTTGAAATAGTATGTTTGTTGAGGTGTAGTGTGTCTGAATATTTTAACTATGTAAGAATTCGGTTAAGAGTAGGAATCTGCTGAAATACTTCAGTATTACTCACTTGTTCACCCAGTATAAAGCTGGAGAGAGGGATAAATAAAATGTTCACTGGCAAAGAAGTGAATTGTGAAAGGTTATTTTTGTATGTCTATACTGTACACCTCAAACATTGTCTGCTAAACTATGTTTCCTACCATTAAACTAGAAAGAGCTGTAAGTCAATGTGAATTATGAGCAAAAAATGTTTTCCACGGATCTAAATATATGAATTTAAATGTAATGGAAAATATAAATTTAGTTATAGAATTGATGAGATTTTGTAAACGCTGGCTCAAACTGTTAGTTTTCCGAATTTAAAATCTTACCCGAGGTCATTAAGATTGTTGGTTTCGATTAGTTTAAATTCTGATGGAGACAAATGTAAAATATTTTATGATAAGTAACTAATTATGATTTAAACTTTTATCATAACTTCTTCTCCGTAGTCCTCACCAACATACAAATTAGGGTACTTTTCCGTTTCGCCGGCGCAAATCTCGCCAAGTAGACTTTGTTGGCGACAGCCTACAGTATACACATAAAAAATTTTAGTTCTAAGAATTTTTTATATTGAAGGCATAAACATATTAATAAGATTTAAAATTTTGTAAAAAAGCCAATAAATAAAGACAATAAATTTGTAAAAGGACATTAATTTAAGAATTTACAATGCTTTCATGGTTCAATATCCTGATTCGCCGGTTCGTATCGTAAACTACGCTACAAAAATATAATTTTCTCAGTAATTATCTACATTAATTTCTTAAATCTTAATTTGGAATACAATTTCTTAAATCTTAATTTGGAATACAAGTTTAAATGCAATAATTATTTCAATTCGTACGAAGAGCTTACTCAGAAATTATGTAAAACCGCAGTGCTTTTACTTCGCTAGTGCATTCTCATTAGAATTGATTAATTTTACCTTTCCTATATTTTCGCCTTCCGGTGAGCGGTGTGATTGCAGCCTAATTGACTTAATTACCGCAAATGGTCTTAGGGTTTTGTTTGATTTGTTTTGTTTTATACGGGCGCCTTCACCCCAGCGGGACCATATGATTTTAATCATATGGTCCCGCTGGGACAAGGCGGATTGGGTCTCCCTCGAATAGTTCACGAATAGTTCACGGGCGCAGCCCTTCCGCCTGGTTTGTTCAACATTATGAAGAAAAGCGGGCGCAACCCTTCCACCAACAAACGATACGAGCCGACCGTGTCCAAATAAAAACAAAATCAGTTTAACAAGCAGAAAAAATCACATTTAAAGAACGCCCCGGAAAGGCAAGCCTGGGAACCGAGTAACATAAAAATTAGCATAATGCAAAAATAACAAAATTATAAAAACGACGGTGAGAACTCTTCTCGAACCTCAAGACGTCCAAGGAATATACATAATAAAATCAAAAAGAAAATTGGTGTTAGTAACTAAAAGAAGAATAACACGGCACATAAAAACACAAAAACATTTAAAGCTGTCCCTGCACCTTTGCACACAAAGTAGTTTTCCATAAATTGAAGCTTTCAGTATGTTAGTTCGATCAATCAGAGATACCGATCACATGTTATGAGAATTGATGACTTTCATAATGTCTTGTGCAAATTTTACTCCTTTTTTATAATTTTGAATCATTTCTCTTACATTTCCGATTCCATGTAAGGCTCTCACCCCCCCCCCCGGTGAGTGTACAACTTTCAATAAAATAAAATGAATGCAGTCACCGGTAGTATCACATTTAAGACATAAA